TTCCTTCCCTACTTGATTTTTTTTTTCTCCTCCAACAGCATCTCTGAGTGGAAGAGTTCGCATAGGCATAGAAGATGATGGAAAACTTGTTTCTACTCGTGAAAGGAGATTCCAGTAAAGAAATACTGAATCCTCTCTTGCATGTGACACAATAGAAAAACAGTGCAGCCTACACGCTGGCTAACACTAAGACAAATAGCTTTTTACTTTCGCCAAATCGCAAGAATGTAATCCAAGAATGTGCAGCAGCTTGATGTCTTTCCTCAAATTTGCTCTCCCTCCTTACATGATAGGTTGGCTCTATGGTTCAGAGATAACAAGCATATTTTCTGTCAGTAGCTGTATAGTTTCCTTATGAAAGAACCCACATAATAAAGTTTCTGTTCTGCTTGTGCAAATACATACAGTCTAATGTTGTTTTTTTGAAGTCAGTATGGTATTGCCATACACATGACGGTACACCCTCCCTAACACAGTGCTCAGGTAAGCAAGACATGCTCAGTAGATAACAACAACATTAACAACAATAACTAATAATAATAATAAAGATGATGATGAACAGACAGATAGAAAGTGCCTTTAGATTCTCCCAGGAATCCGAAGCTAATACTGATAAAGAACTGAGAAGATAACGCACAAAATCCTTCAGCTCTTTGTTCTGAATTTAAAGTGCACAACATGACTACAATTCATGCATCAATAAAATGCACCTCTTTAAAAAAAATATTTTTCCATATATATACACATGTTCCTGCACTTCCTTCAGCACAAAGGCAAATTTCCTTAGCTCTTGAGGAAGCACTAGGCAAGGTCTGTGTGAAATGGCTTGTTGAAGCAGAGTTGGCTGTGACTACTCTGGTTTTCATACACAAGGAAGAAACCTGCCAGCCTGTGTCACTACTGTAGCTGTTGTATTAGCAATGTTGCCTTTTCTGAAGTTAGTCTGCAAATCTACACCAGTGTAATGGAAGAGAGATGCTTACAAAGATTTAGGAGGCTGGTAAATCTCAGCTTCAGAAGCATATAAAACATTTACATAAATGCTGTATTTTGCTAACATAAACTGTTTGGAAAATTTTGTCAGCCTCATCACTGGGTATTTCAATCCACATAATATGATCTACAAAAATTATATCATTTCTAGAATTACATAGTTTATTTTCCTTCCAATCTCCTAAGAGTCACTATTTTTCTCTCTTGTTTTTTCTGACATTTAAAAAAAAAATCTACCCTGCTGGCACCAGCCCCAGAGTGTAGCCATGAAGGAGGCTGCAGGATCATTGGTACAGCACTGTTAAACATACATACTGCTGGCATTCTCATGGGGAAGAACTGAGAAGAGGTTCTTGCAACTTCAGCACAGCAACATCACAATCTATCAGAAAAGAAAAGCCAAACAGTACAAATGATATTTTCTCCTGATCCAGAAATCAAGTGACTATTATATGTATCACTCAGGCAGCAAGCGAGAGAAATTCTACAGCCAAAGGCAGCTATCCATTTGTATTTCAGATAGAGGAGTTGAATCAAGAAGTGATGGTTGCAGAATATTTACCTGTACAACGTAGGTGTCAAAATATTCTGCCTGTACTTAAACTACAGTCTATAAATTCAGTTCAGTTTGCTTTTCATGTTCCAGTTTAGTAAAACAAGTACAATTTCCAAATAAAGCAACTCCAGCCTCCAAACTGAAAACGTCTAGCCCCTGCTCCCAGGCCAAAGGTGCCAGCCCCAAAATGGGTGCCTGGCCTGAACCCTCCCTCAGCGGCCCTCGCACAGCCCCACTCACATTGGGGCTGCGGGCTCGCCTAGACCCCAAAAGGGGCCGAACAGTGCCTTACCGACCCTCTCGCCCTCGACCAGCGTTCAGCTGCCAAGCAGCGCCCCAGCTTACAGCCAGCAGTTGGAATAAAACAAAGAGAAGTCACCATCTAATGCTGCCATCTGCTG